GTGAGGAAAGCTGATGGTGCTCAGCTACCAAAAGATATAGCACCTGAAGCCTTAAAGACCTGAAGATAAACAAGCACCATCTAGCTGAGAGACAACAAGACCCACACGGGAGAAGCACACCAGCCTACCCCTACTGGATCACTGAGGACATAGGGGGTGCATTAGCAAAAGTGGGGAAGAAAGCAGATGGTGCCCGACTATCAAATGATACAGCATCTGGGGTCTTACAGGCTAGGAAAACTTTTATTTAGTTCTAGGAACCTGGAATGAGATTGGTCAGGTCCTCTGATGTCAGGAAATAGTCGCTTCACAATGACCAGGAGTAAGTCTCTTTAGTACTTGTTTCTTAGACTTGCAAACAGAGTGGAGAAACCTGTGAGACAAAGCCAACAAGAAATATTCCTAGACTAGATAGTGTTTCTTCCTTGAATGGTTCTAATGAGATACAAATCCCTATAAGCTCATAGCAAATAACCTCTCCTCAAGTGAACTTATCATGAAACTTCCTGTTAATTAGATGTACTCATTATTTTACTGCTACTGTTTAAAACTGTGCCTCTCCCAGACATATCTCTTTACATTAAAAAATGTAGGATTTGTGTCATAAATGTATTTAATACCTAGTGCAGCCTTAAAACACCAAAGTGCATAGCCTCCTTCCTTTACCCATCTCCCCCCTTTTTTTCCACTCAGTGATGATGAACAGGCATTATTCCAATTACACTTGTCCAATTGCTTTTAAAAGATAAAATAAAGTCCCAGGACAGATAAGGTATTACTATTGTTCCTATTATGGTATGAGTTCTTAAGTATCCAGCGTGCTCTCTGCTTTAGTGGGGAGGGCACTCAAAAGGAATTACATCTGATTTTGATCATGTAGTAGATATCTTCATTTTGCATGTTTGCTACATCAGACAATATACATCTATCTTAATTATATCTTCGTGTAAGAATAAACCCAGAGTTATTTCAGTCTCTGTGCATTGCTTCCTAGCTCTCTTGCCTTTTAAGCAATTATAAATCTTATTCCAATAGTGAATTATGTTTGACAAAGAAGACTTCTTTTCTAAGAGGTGCACTTTAATTTGACGTTTAAAACAACTGGCTTAAAAATGTGATTGGCCTTAGTATCTTTTTAGATCTCTAGATAAGCTTACTGCAAAAAACATACCTCTTGGGAATTTGGAAAGCTGACTGATAATATGATACATCAACGTTTATGGGGGAAAAGCAAAGCCTTCATTTTCCTTCTAGTTGTTCTTATTTCCTACATCAAACAGAAGATACATCTTTTATCAAGCTGTGTTCCCATGAGTCCAGATACTATTTGATTCATTGAATCAAGTGGGACCACTTTCATCTCGTTGTGACAAAACAGAGAGAATGACATTTTCTCTGAACGCTTTAAGGATGACAGCATGATACTTCCCTACATTTATTGGTTCAACAACCTTTAATAGTGCAGTTTCAGAATTAATACAAACAACTAAATTATGATGCTTACCTTACAGGAGCCAATGAGAAAGAAATAGTTCTGATGAATGGTTTGACTGTTAATTTACACCTTCTACTGGTAAGTTTTCTTTATCATCAATGTTTAATATATGTTCATTTGCAGAATATGGTGATTTCTATCTTTAATTCATGAGCATCTGGTAGTTTGCTTATTTTTAAATAAGTTGTGAAGTTATTTTCATTCTTACCAGGAAATGCTAGACCAGCTAGTTATTATTATATCTTTGTTACAACCATGGGAGAATTGACTCTTTGTTAGTTTATCTCAGAGCACAAAGAGTAAATAAAGTAAACAACAACAACACACACACACACAAACAATGCTATAGGAATGTTATAAAAATCTTGAGCTTTTTGTAAGGATAACTTTTCAAACTACTGAATTCTAGCAGAGTGGGGTCAGTATATGTTAGTAGATTAAATTTTTGGTGGCAGGTTAAAAAAGAATTGGAAGATAAAACTGACATGTATAAAAGAGTACAAATTTCATATTAAATACTCAAAAGGGAGAAAGTTGAGAAGACTATCTACATTTGTAAAGATTTACTGCCTCAAAAGCTCTTTCTAAGTTCTCTGTGAGTCAGAGTCCACTGGGTGACAGTGGGTTCTGTTCTGTTGTTTTTAAATACTCAATAATATTTACATCTTAAAATTCCAGTTTTATATTCCTGCTTGGAATATGGCATCTATACTTATTGGTTTGGTGCTTTGAAACTTTTAAATTCACAGTTAAGTATATTTTGGAAACTTATCCACATGCATAAGATATACATTGAAGACATCAATGTCTTATTTTAATAAAGTAGAAAAATGTATTTGAGGAATGCCTAAAAGCAACTGTGGAGTATTTTAAGGATTCAAGGAGTATTTTAAGGATGATGTTAAACAGCAGTTGAATTCAGACATTTCTGGGTTTGACTACCAGCTATGTTATTAAATGTCTATATGACTTTGCACAAGGCTTTCAGTATGTACAAGTTTTAATTTTTTTCTTGCTAAGAATGAGGATTATACCTAGGTATCCATAAATTTGCCCTAGGATTATAGGTGAAAATTGCTTTAGCACCCTGGTCCATCATCAATACCTAATTTACCGTAGTTAGTACTTTTATTATTGACATTTTCACTCCGATTGGCTAGGAACCACCTGATGGGACTCCATTGAACAATTATGCTCCTTGTTCCTGGTAGCTCTAGAAATGGCAATTATATTATGTTAAGACTGAGGTGGCATAGTGGGTTACATATTAGGCTCCTAACTACAAGGTCAGCAGTTCAAAACCACCAGCAGGCCCATGGGAGAAAGATGAGGATTTCTACTTCTGTAAATATCCATAGCCTTGGAAACCCACAGGGGCAATCGTACTGTCTTACAGGGCCAATATGGGTTAGAATTGACTAAATGGCAGTGAAGCCTGAGACATTTTTCAGCTAAACCTAAAATCATAGACCAAAAATAATTTTTAAAAAGTAGGAACAGTATGTAGTGGGAACCAAGTTAGCCATAAAAGATAACTCCCCCCCAAAAATTATTGAAAAAAAAGAAATAACTCAATATAAATAGGATATTCATGGAGCATGACATGTAAGTCTCATTACCATTAAACACTTTGGGAAGACAACTTTGCAATTAAAATCTACGTTTGAGATTTTGCTTTAATCAGATTCACATTCTTCCATAGGCTTGCTTTTCACTGATAAATACAAGCCAATATCTTTCTCCTCTTTGTATCTCATTGGAATCAAGATGAATCAGCCCAGTACCCTTGACAAACACCATAGAGGCATAATTAATTAATTAGTGCTTGTAAAGTTCTGGAGATCACAAGATGAAACTGTGGTGTAAAATGAGAAAATTCATAAATTGTGAATTAATGTTTTTTTCAATGAATTGATTTCATTGCAGTTGTCATTTTTCAAGCCTACCCCAAAACGGTATAAAATTCTTCTAGAAGCCAAAGCCTTCCCTTCAGATCATGTAAGGATTTCTTCAAATCATATTTATATTCTTTCTACTCTTCTGAGAGGAGCATGTCATTTGCTTGACTTGAATGTTTAGTCACTAGTCTTTCTCAAGTACCCTCTCAATAAAAGTATCTGTGAAATGGTTTTGACTGAGACATTTAAAAAATAAATTGTAGCTTTATTTATTTTGTTCTAGTAAAACAGGAGTTCAAGGAGGAGAGTACTGAATAGGAAAAGTGATTGATTCATCTTTTAAAAGACATTGAGCAAACTGTTGGTGTCCATCAAATGCAGTTATAAATGTTTTCTTAATTGTGGCTGTTTTAGTTTATAAAATACAATCAATACAAGTCATAGAGCTTAACCATTTAGCTACATATTATAGGAATATAAAAGTGTACTTGTCTTTTTGCTTTTGTAGTATGGTATAATAAGAATTAGTGTCTTATATTTAAAATGTTATTTTTTAAAGATAGAACATTTGTTGTGATGCATTAAAATTTACTTTGTTTAATCAGCCATTCAGTTGGTAAAATTTTATTTTTCAGACATATGAAAGCTTGTTGTTCATTTCAATTTTAATGTTACAGAAACCTGGTTTCTGTATTTCATATTGTTAGTAACTATTATACCCCCATCTTATGTAATTTTAAAGTACTTACTCATTTATGCCCAAATCAATAACCATTACTTTACTAAATAGAAGCTAAGTAATTTCAAAATATTCAATATATTTGTAATAGATTGTGCCCAGTTGTCTCTCAATTAAATATATTACTTCATTGTGTAAATAAAGTTTCAAATAAGACATTTTTAACATGTACAATTAAATGACATTAATTATCTTCATCATTTTCTATGATCAACATCATTATCCTTTTCCAAATATTTCCATACCCTTAATAGGAGTTCAGTGCTCCTGAAATCAACTATATAATAACTTTTCATTTTAATAACCTTTTCTTCTTAGGTTCTGTGTTCTTTCATAAGAAGCTCATAAAATTCACTTTGTTATTTTATGTTTTTATTTGACATAATGTGATTTAATAACTTATACTACATATCTCTTTGAACCCTTAAAGTCTAGATGACTCCTAAATTTCCTTCAATCTCTAAAAATCAATGTTTCAAAGAGTGTTAGGTGTCTGTGTAAATGATATTAAGTCGTTCTTTTTTTCTGGCACATTTTATTCAGTTACTTTGACCTTGGACTTAGTAGTATCCTTTTTTGGTTACACTTTAGCTTATTTTCAGAGTTGTTACTCTAATGGGCTTATGTGGGCTGGATTTAATAAGATACATCACCCGTCTTTTCCAGTATGCCATTGAGTCCCAGCTCCAACTTCATGGGCTTAATGTTGAGAAGAGCATGCGGATCGTCAAGCCAAGAGAGGTAAAGAGGGAGACAAATACGTATTCATCAATCTTTTATTTAGTGTTGATAATTTAAATTCCCTGTTCCTGAAAAGGTTTTTCTTTTTATTATCTTGATGGACTTTCAAGGAAATCTAAAAGGTTTATAGTAGTGCTACATTGGGCAATCTGCTTAAAATAAAGAAGGAAATCAGAAGTGTTTTTATGTACATTTCTCACAAGATGGTCACAGAGCAAGCAAACTATTTTACTGATTATAACATTAAAGTCTGTCATATTTTTTATTTGGAATAGAAGTGTTAACTGATGTATAACATTTTCAAGTTCACATGCTATTTTCTATAAACACAACCCAAATGAGGCTAAGGGCCAGCAACTTGTGTTGAGCATTCTAGTTGCTCTGATGAGGTCTGTTTCCGCACCCTGAGTATCAAATGTGCTCCTTTGTGCATCAGCTGGGGTGTAGAAAGGGCACGGCACACGGAAAGAGTTGGACTTTGAAGGTTGGATGATTGAGACCCCTGTGCCAATCCAGATACACTTCTTACTGGGCACATGACTTTGAAAAGGTTGTTTTATGAGATTACTTGAGGTTAAAGCAGGTAACAAAGGATTCATCTAATTAGGTTTGACCATTTGTTCAAGATCTGAAACACTGAGCACTTCACATTAATAGGGCAAGTTGTACAGACTTTGACATACACACTCTGCAGCGTGTGTAATTTGGCACCAAGAAAATCAGATGGATTAAATTTTTTATTTCAGATACGATGTTCCCACACTGCTTTTTTTTCCTCTTAGCCCTCTTGTCCACTCCTCCCCATTCTGCACCTCCTCCTCCCACAGTGTTAAAACAATGCTTGCACAATTATTTCTGTCAACCTAGAATTACTTTGAAGAAATTAAACATCTCTATTCTCTTTCCCAACCTACAATAAATTAATGGAATTAAGAGTTCTCATGCTTGTAAGAGAATATTGATTTCATAAATCATATAGAAATTGGTAACTTCTAGTATAAATGTATAAATCATAGGTATTCATGGTGAAAGTGTAGTGGAGTTTCATGAGCTAATACTAATATTGAGTGATATTTTAGTATTACTTTTTTTTTCTATTTCTTTTGTTCTTGACAATATACATGGCAAAACACAACAATTTAACAGTTTTTACCTGTGTAATTCAATAACATGAATTACAGCCTTTGAGGTCTGCAACGATTCGCACCCACCTTCCTGAGTTGTTCCTGCTCATTCACATAAACTCATTGTTTAGTTTTTTTCCTATCTAATTTTTCAAGTGCTATTATCAGTTTGATCCCAAATACATAGTTCTTAAAGGAGAAGCATAGCACTCGAGGCAGAAACATTTTTACTGGTTAAATTAATATACTGTTTGGTTTAAGGAAACTTAAAATTTTAGATTTAAAGTCTCTCCTAGGGCAACAGTTCTGGTTGTTATTCCAATAAATTCAGTTCACAGTTACTCAGAGGTATATCAGTGTCATCTTCCACCTTCTTAGACAGAACCTTGCAGGAAAATGTCATTTAGTGGAAGTTAGAGACTTTGGCTAGAGGAGTCACATTAAATAATTCACTATCCCTGAAGGTTCCTCTTATCTCTATCTGACAAGTAAGGCTGGTCATTCTTAAGATTTTGAATTTTGTTCCAATATTTGCCTTCACTCAATTTACAGCAATCTGTTGGATCCCTTTCAGAGCACCCAATATGGTAGCTGGCCACCATACAGGTGTCCTGTTTTCAGGTTGTGGAGGCTGAGATCCATTAGTTTTCTGGATTAATTGTTTCCATGAGTCTGTTTTTCTTCTCTCTTCTTTGCTCTGGACATGGGAGGATGAATAGCTGTGCCTTATATGGTCACTTGCAAGCATTTAAAATCCCAGTCACTAGTGACCAACTCCAAAATAAACTACTGTTCTATAGGGTTGATTCCAATTTATTGGTACTCTATAGAACAGAGTAGACTTGCCCCTTGTGGATTTCTGAGACTGTAAATCTTTTGGGGAGTAGAAAGCTTCATATTTCTCCTGCAGAGTTGCAAGTGGTTTTAAACTACTGACTTTGTGATTAGCAGCCACTGTGTAAACCACAGGGCTTCTTTCTACTGACCAAAGTAGGATGTAAAACATTGTCTTTGAGCTTATGTTATCCCAGTTGCCCTTGCTGTCCTCTATGATCAGGGTCCCAATTTCTCAAACATTTTAAAATAACTACTGGTATTTTATTGGCTTGAACTAAGGAGGAAACGATTTATAGGTAGGAAGGTAGCAAAAATTAATTGAAAACATGTGGTCCAAAACAGTGAAGTAGGTTTTTGCAATAACTTACACCTTGAAATTGTGTCTTGCATTATTCTCATTTCTTAATGATAACAGTCATATTCAAATGTTTCTCATCTCCCAAAATTTTTTGAGATCATTAGTCTGAAATAAATAAACAAACAAATAAATATGCCTTTGCATTTTCTTTGGATCAAAAAAGATCTCATGACGAAATCTAGATTGGAAATATGCAGTGACAAATACGTATATAATGCAACTTGTGCCTAATTCTGTTTTAGGGAGAAGAAACCTTGAGACTGGAGGATATCCTTGGAGTGATCGAGAAGGAAGGAGACTCGATTGCAGTGGTTCTTTTCAGTGGGGTCCATTTTTTCACTGGCCAACACTTTAACATACCTGCCATCACCAAAGCCGGGCAAGCAAAGGTATGCCTATCACTGCCTCCTTCCCATCTTGTCCTCTCACCTCAACGGTAGTGGAAGGCGTCTGTTGTAACATTGGGTTGGAGTCCCTGTTGCCTCACAAACAGGAAGCACTCAAAGGGGGGATGGTTCAAAACCACCCCCTTGAGGTGCCGTGAGAAGGATGGCAGGAGATCCGCTTCTGGAACGTCCCCATTGAACACCCTCTGGGGCAGGGTACCCTATACAGATGGCATCCCTGTGAGTCAGAAGAGACTTGACACCAATCACACACAACAAACCTATTTTAAGGTTAAAAAAAGAATAACCCGTGTCACACACACAGATTTGCACTCCTCTTTGCTTTTACTCAACTCTATTTATGTCATGCTTTTGTGAGTCTGTGGCCTTGCCGTTTGTGGTAGTTACACAATCTGGTGTCAATTTGGGACTTGAGAGGATTAAGAGTGAAGGGGTGGAGTCTAGCTTGTTAATCAGGATATAACCAACGGGGCCTCTGTGTAGGAATGGGCTTCCCCTGACGATTCCAGGAATTCCTTTATTTCCTCCTTGGAGTGGGAGACCCTCTTTCTTGACTCACACCCTGAGAGACATTTCTGACAAGAAGCCACATGAAGCTACCCTGATGCAGCCAGAAGCCACGTGGAGACTCTGGCCAGTGCTGAGATGTTTACATCGCCTCTGGATCCACAAGACTTCCCACCCATTGCCCTGTGATCTTCCTGCATTCGATGTCATTGCATGTGTTTCCTGGGTCTGAAGAAGACTCTATATATTGGTATCAGACATAAGATCTAATATCAAATTTATGGACCTAATCTGGGCCAGGCTGGGATGTTTTCTTAATATTCAATTGCTCTTGTATATAAACCTCTTTCTTATACACTTGTGCATGTCCATGAATTTGTTTCTCTAGTCTACCCAGACTAACACACCGCTTTACTAGCAGGTACTCTCCGGTGTTTTGTCTCCAATCTGCAGGACTCGTAATCTTCTTGTAGGTGACAGAATGGTTAAATCGGCAGAAAGCAGTTGGTAAGCAGGATATAAGTTACATACTAAACTGTGAGATACTAGACTCTGGTACTTTGTCACAGTATAACTCACTCTGAGTCGCAGTCATTTGCTGGTCCATTGCTACTGCTGTGGTTGCTTCCAGTATTGTCATTCTTCAGGACTATAGAGCTCAGTCTCCTGGGTCTAAGAAGTTCTCAGCACAGGGACTCTGGGTTCAAAAGGTATACTTAGGTCCTGGTTCTTCTTGATGGGACTGAAATCCCCCTTCAACCTGTAAGATGGGCTCTTCTTAAGATTAAAGGGATGACAAAATAGACCCATCCTTTTGGTGAGCCACAGATAACTTTATTTCCATGTTCCCAAACATTATTTTGTGAGAGTTACAAGACCAGGACTTCAAAAGTCAAATATAGAGAAACCCATTGCCCTACAACACATACAGTTAATTATCACAGTGGGGCAAAGTATTCTTTTTATGGAAGACATCTTGTCACCTGAATCTGAGTTAGCCAGGCAAATGAGATGAAGAAAAAAATGGCCTAGAGGTAGGGAGAAGTTTATATAAACAGAGTGATGTAGATATGGGGCACCAGACGTGGGAGAAATAGAAGATACTAGGCCATAAAGATCTTTAAGAGGTTATGAGTAATGCCTTAAAATTAATGGGTCCCTTTGAAGGGAAACAATGAGGATTAGAATCAGAATCATGCTTAGAAAGTTTACTCTAGCAATAGCGCAGAGAATTCACTTGAGGAATTCAAAATGGCGAGGGGAGTACTGCAGTAGTTGAGGATTTGACTGTCGACAAGGTGTGGTGGTGACTGAAAACGTTTGTGCTGATATGTGGTTGTGTCGATATGAATGGCAGTTCCCGTAGGAACTGATTTTGAATCAAAATCGGTTGAAATTATTTGTTCTTGTTTTAATTGGGTATGGTAAGCACTGACGTTTGATGATTACATTTCAACCTCTTCATATTGTATTATTTACTGTTAGAGGCAAAAGAATAAAAATTTAACTGGAGGCTGTAGCGAGATTGCATTCATTCATTCATTTTGTGTGTAAGAGAGATTTTTATATCCAAGAGTAACTGTATATTAAGAAAACATCCCAGCCCAGTCCGGACCAAATCCATAAGTTTGATCCTAGCCCATAAGTCTCATATTAGCCCATATGTTCGATATTAGTCCATAAATTCTCCTACAGACTCATGCAGCACATGCGATGATGCCAAAAGCAGAAAGTTCACAGGCCACTGGGTGAAAAGTCTCATTGGAAACATCTCAGCCCTGGTGCAGCTCTCCACGTGGCTCCTCCAGCTCCAGGGTTCGGGCTGCCATCAGCATAGCTTCACGTGGCTTGTCAAGAGAATATGAAGCAGAGAGAGGGTGTGTCCCGCCTGGGAGGAAGACAGGAGTTTCCTTGAAGGCTATGTCCACACAGAGACATCATTGGCTATGACCCGATTCACAGGCTAGACTCCACCCCTTCGCTCAAGTTGACAGAGTATGTAACTGCCACAGTTGTTAACCAAATGGTCCGTGGTTTGAACCCACCAGCCACTCTACAGCAGAACCGTGTGGTGGTCTGCTTCCATAAGGATTACGGAATACCTCTAGCCCTTAGTTTTCCAAGGTTGAGTCACAGTGGGCTCCATTTAAACTATTAGCTTCCTGGATTGGGATAACTCGGTTCTTGCTTCGAGGTGCTTTACGAATTCAGGGGAAGAAGCACATTTTTGAAATCCAAGTGGCTTTTAGGAGGAAAGGGGAAGTTTCGGGTATTACAGTCTCAAAAAAATACATGCTGGTTCAGAGACTTTCTTAATTTTTAAGATGCTGCTACCTACTGGTAACTTTAAGAATTACTTTATAGAGATCATTTCCGTTACTATGTTAAAGAGCTTTCTTCAAAAGTCATATTTTAACAATTTATGTTTTCTGCTATCTACAGGGAAATACTTGTATATGTACCAAAACATGTAGAAGCCAAGAGTGATTTTTTGATGCAATGCATTAGATTTGACTGCAGGACTTTTAACAATAGGATATAGTGTGTGAGGCTTTGTGGTTTCTTCAGTGTATTACTCTTTCTAAATAATTAATAATAATAATAAAACAAAGTAGTCCCGCTTCTATTTGGGGGAGTTTTATACATAAAGTTGAGCTACAAAAACATAAAAAGTTGAGTTGCAAAAAAAAAAAGTTTCATAGAAGCCATTGCTTTAATTAGAAATAATGAGAGAAAAAGAGTTCAAATTCAGAAAGGCGATCTTTTTCCTTATGGAGATTTCATTACTAAAAGTGTGTCTTAAAAAGCAAACAGATGTGTGTATGTCTGTTAAATTTAAACATTGTTCTGTAAATCCTGGTTTTTAGAACTTCTAAATTTTGGTGGGGCTTGATTATGTTTCTTCCCCATCACTCCAGAATTTCTATCACTATGTCTTATTATTATGTTGTGAGAAAGGTAGGGCTTTCTTCTCACCTAAAGAGCTAGGTAGCAGCATCTTAAAAATTAAGAACGTCTCTGAACCAGCATGTATTTTTTTGAGACTGTAATACCTGAACCTCGGAGGGGCAGTTCTGTCCTTTCCTATGGGGTCCATAAGAGTCAGCACCAACGTGATGGCAGCGAGCTTTCTCTTTAAAAAAATATTATTATGGCATTTTTTTGTTCTTTTTATTGAAGAAAAACATAAATCCATACCGCCCAAACACAGAGAAAACACACTCACACACACACTTCTATACCAGAACCTCTTCTGTAATTCTTCATTGCAAAGGACAGCCATTGGTACTCTTGAAAAATGCATTGTTGAGTTAGGAGAAACCCATTTGTGTGTGTGTGTACCTTTCCCGGTCTTTTTCTCATCAACTGTGTTAGTCTGGGTACATTAGAGAAACAAATCCACAGAAACTCATATGTATAAGAGAGAGTTTTATATAAAGTGTAAGTGCGCATCAAGAAAACATCCCAACCAGTGCTGCCCAAGCCCACAAGTGCAACATTAGCCCATATGTCGGACACTAATCCACAAAGTCCTCCTCCATCTCACAAAATACACGCAATGATGCCGGCTGCAGGAGGAAAGCTGAGTCAGTGAATGTGTAAGCATCTCAGTGCTGGCAGGGGTCTCCACACGGCTGTTCCAGCACCCAGGCATCAGGGTAGGTCCATGTGGCTTCTCCTCAGGGATGTCTTGCAGGAAGTGAGCCTTGCCAGCTGAAGTAAGGAACTGGCTAAGGCAGCTACACCCTGGTCCAACTATCAGAAAGCAGTAGACCCGAGAATTAGAAAGGTGAGGCTCACTGAGCCATTTATCTCTATGTCCTTCAATTAACCCCACATGTGTTTATTGGCCAGGTTGGCACAATAAACTTTAACTATCTCAACTCAGTTTTCAATTTTCATAAGCTTCTTCATAATAAACTCTAGTGGTCATCCTGTGGCCTTTGAGAAAATCTCTCAAGGTTACCCCTTTAGAATCCTCAATAACAGCCTATAACTTTCTGAGCTGACCTCTCTGCTTTGATTTTTACTTGCCCAAGAGATCCTCTCAGAAGCTAGTATTTTGAGTGGATTTTTTTCTGCGGCACTTTTAAAAGACTCGAGACAAATCTTCTACTGAGAGTCGTTGTCTGCAGCCATTCATGGAGTGTAGAGACAGTGTTACAGTGTTAAACACATTTTGTTTGGAGTAAACCTCTGCATGTATGAACTGGAACCCTGTACCAAAGTTACTTACCCTTAACTTTTCTAGGACTGTATAAAATATTATTTTACTTTTGGGGGACTGAGTGTATGTATCAGTTATCTCTTCCCACAAAATGCTGTCCTTAGCAGCCAGAATTTTGATACTCCAGTATCAAAATGTAGGGCTTTAAATTTTTTCCTAAAAGTGTATTTATGGGTCATGTTACTATCTGATGATCTAGGCAGGAGCTAGCTAGTGGCATTCTGCTAGGCTCACGTGAGCTCATTCCTAGGTCTCTGACCAGGTGTGGGGAATGGAAGCAGGGCACACCTGATCAAGGCTGAATTCAGATGAGGAGGAATCTGATCCACATTTCTCTCACCTTCTGTCTGGGTTGGCAGTCAAATCCAAGCAGTCCTAGCAGAGATGGCAGAGGGCAGGAAAGAGCAAGTTGAGTCACCTAGGTGCTCCTTGAGCTTCTGCTTACATCAATTTTATTGATGAAAAAAAGGGGGAAAAAACAGTCAGATGGCTCTTCTCAGTGTCAGAGAATTTCACCCTGCCTCTAATGAGAGGAACTGAAAGTTATATGGCAAAGGGCATGAATACAAGAAGGTAAAGAAACGGAAACTATGAATGTCGTTTACTATAGTAATGTGTATAATGAATCTATTAACTTAAGATGTGAATATGATGTGAAAGTAAATAACTGAAATCAATTCCTTCAAGTTACCAGGATACACTAACACAGTAATTCTCTAATGAGTTGGTTATAAAAATTCTTTATGGTCAATCACTCAAAGTCATTGAAAACCTCAAAGAGCTATTAATTTTGTGCTTGTATATCTGTTGCATTTTTAAATTATTAAATGTATTCATCAATTTATTTTAACATAACAGCCATAAACCCTTAATGCTAACAAATATAGTATATTTTCAAAATACATAAAATAACCAGTTTATGAAAAAACAAACAAAAAGAGTGACACTGAATCCCATGTGGCATATAACTTTAATGTTTTGCTTACTAGAAGCCAGCTGGATTTTCATATATGTTTCTGAATGCAATCTTTTCATTCTTCTATCTGCTACTGCCATAGTTAAACAGGAAAAAAAATCTGTCCTCATATAGAAAAAAATCTGTCCTCATACAGATATGGAATTGGAAAAGGTAGGAGTAGTTTAATAGTATTTCTATTAGGTGTCTGATAAGCATTGGACTGGTAACTGAAAGATGTGTGGTTCAAGCCCACTGACTCCTCTGTGGAACAAAAATGAGGCCATCTGCTCCCACTAAGATGTATGGCATTGGAAAGCCTACATAAGTTCACTCTGACCCCATAGCAAAGAATTTGGGGTTTGTTTTATTCTCTTGCTTTTATTTTTTGCTTAATACAGAATCTGGTGCGAACTTCGTAATGGTTTGTTGGGGTAGGGGATGTAAAACCAAATCATTGAAAATGTTTGTTCTTTGTGACATTAAAGTCCATTGAATCTTTATGGAATATGGATGGGTCTTTGCTTGATGCATTGGTCATTTGGAAAATATTGATTCACTGAGACATACATCTCTTCCAAATATTGACACCTTTCATTATATGACATTAAATATATTACCGGGAGTTTCATGCACGACGTTATTGTTTTGATGAGCTTGGCTGTGCAACTATGTACAATATGGTTTTAATTGTCTATGTTATATTCTACAAGGAAAAAAGAAAGTTAAAGTAAATGAAATAGAGTTAAAGTGTTAGAACCAACCCTCCAGATTCCTGCACCATGAGATTCAAACCCTGGAGTGGCTCGCCAATGGGGAAAAGGAAAGGCGAAGTTGATTTAAATGCTTTTTGCGATACCCACACTAGTGTCTAACAAAGAAAAATGATAAAATATTCTATTATATAAAATATCATATTCGCTAATATCCCCAACAAACCCATCTACAGCATGTGGGCATTTATTGGGAAGTAGTCATATTCGTAGAAGCAAATAAAAAATTTTCAACATGCACATTTTGTCCTGAAAATTCTTATTTTACCACCGCCAACAAGTACACTAAGTTGTTTTCTTTGAAGGGACAGATCACTGCTTTAGAAAAAATGCTTGTCAAACGTTCACATTTGAGTTAGTTTTACTTGTCTGAAGGTTGTTTTTTCTTATGTAAATGCTCCTCCATGAGAAAAGGGTGGAGTTCAGCTTGTTCCTGAACTAATTGCACAACTGCCGTGTGCTGAGACCGCCATTCCATCTGAAAGCTCAGACAAGCGTTCATAAGCGTTTCTACAAACAGTGCCAACCCTAAGAGAATTAAAGCATTGAGAGGAAATAAAAACCAACGACCTTGACCGCTTTATCTAAGAGATTCTTCAGTGAAGTTGTCCTTTAGGGACGGGTGGTTAGAGATCATGGCTGGGGGTGGTGCCATACACTGACTGTAGTAGAGTTTAGTGCCTCTGCGAAGGAGAAAAGTTTGACTCACCACAGTTTGCCCTGCCAGTGCAAAAGGCAAAGTGTGCCTTATCATGCTGGGGAGAGTATTGGACTTGATGGGTCTCATGAAAGGCCTTGGGGTCACTCCCAGTTCTATGATTCACGCTCTGTGAGTCACTGCATTAAAGGGTGCTCCTTTTTAATGGTACGGCAAGTTGTCAAAAGAGTCTCCGAAAAGATATTTCAATTCTTCCTAATCAAGAAGCAAGTCTCAAAACGTCTCACTGTGTTCTTCCCCAGGGCTGCTTTGTTGGCTTTGATCTTGCACATGCAGTTGGAAATGTTGAACTCCGCTTACATGACTGGGGAGTGGACTTTGCCTGCTGGTGTTCCTACAAGGTACACACTCGGATGTTGGGTCTTTTTACCAGTACTTCACCTTGTTATTATTCTAAATGGAAAGTTGGAAGATGTGCCATTTTTAAGTAGTTGAGATATTTTTCCCTATGTGTTTTAAAAGAATAACAATCTTTTTGCCTTTTGTGATTTTAGTTAATAATAAGAATTTTATAGAATAGTATAAAATAATTCTTGGAGTAAATATAGTATTGATATTTGAAAAAAAATGTATTTTCATGACCAAAATGATATTTAAATGATTGAACATTGATATCAAACAGACTATAGTAGTAAAGCTATGTGTTACTTGAAGTAAAGTAGTATTTTCAAACCAGTTTCTTTGTGAAGTGAGCAAGCGGTTTGGGCCAATTTCACTTTTAAAAAATTCCTTACTCTAAAGGATTTATCACAGTTTTAAGTGATTTCCCTTTTGGTGGGTAATGATTTATTTATTTTCAATAGTAATTCTCAAACAAAAAATCCCAAGTAACCAAATTTGTTATATATCTAAATCACAGTTTATTACTGTATAGAATGTGTTGTGCTGAGTTGAATTGCTAAAATTCAAGTCAATTGCATCAACCGCCCTTCCCATCTGATCACTTCTAATATTTTGTTATGTTAAGAACTTAACTTATCTTGAAAGGCTTAGTTTTACAGTATTCACTACAAATGTCTTGTTTTCAATTTGATAGTTATTTTTTATTTGTTTTCCTTTTAACAGGAAAACATTTTACTAGAAAATACATTTTACTAGAAAAACTTTAATAGTCACATATGGTTAAGTAACTAAAAGCTAGTTTCTTTAAAAATAGACCAACAATTGTATTGCTGATTTAAAAAATATATTTAGGAAACCTCATATAATTTCATTTCTTTTTGATTAAGTATTTAAATTCCGGAGCAGGAGGTCTGGCTGGTGCCTTTGTCCATGAAAAACATACCCATACAGTCAAACCTGCGTGAGTAACACTTTTGTATGCTTCCTTGGTGATGAATAAATTAATTTGCATGAGTAAATTGGTAACTTTACATGAGTCCTTAAGTTGTGATCCAATAGAAGTTTGGATTGATTATAATGACTCTACTAGCTACTCTATTAATGATGTGCCTTATCAGAAATAAATATTTTCCAAAGATGTTAGTTGGTTGAATAGGAAATCCAATCACACAAAGAGAAGCTTCAGTGCCAAAACTGAGTTCCTGCATCTTGCAGAGCAGACACTTTAATGCAAAGAAACCACTTCGTTTTTTTAAATTAGACATTAGCAAATTTAGGACTCCTGACAGTGAGGAATAAATTAGAGGCAACCAGAGCAGTATATAATAGCGCCTTATATATGGCAAGTTATTACTAAAATTATACCTACCTTTAAAGCTAGCAATGTTCCATTATGCTCTTAAGAAGAATATCTTCTGTCCTAAGGACCTAATATAATCCATGAGACCTGAAGATGCTGAACACTGAGCAACAGACTGACTACATACAAAGCAATACCTTCCACTTTTTAAAAAATTTATTTATTTTTATTTTTTAACATTTTATTAGGGGCTCATACAACTGTTATCCCAATCCATACACACATCAATTGTGTAAAGCGCATTTGTACATCGTTTCTCAAAACATTTTCTCTCCATTTAAACCCCCGACATTAGGTCTTCATTTTTCCCCTCCCTCCCCGCTCCCCGCTCCCGCATGAGCCCTTGATAGTTTATAAATGGGTATTTTGTCATATCTTGCCCTGTCCGATGTCTCCCTTCATCCACTTTTTGGTTGTCTGTCCCCCAGGGAGGAGGTCACACACAGTTCCATGTAATCGGTTCCCTCTTCCCTACCCATTCTCCCTTTACCCTCCCTGTTTTGCCCCTCACACCACTGGTGCTATAGGGCTCATCTGTCCTGGATTCCCTGTATTTTCAGTTCCTATCTGTACCTTCCATTTTTATAGATTTCTCTTCATGTTGTAGAGTGAATGTAGCTGTCACTGTAATGTACCAATGCACTGACACATTTATATTTGATGAAAGAACTCATATAAATGGTCCTTACATTTTTCTCTGGTATTGAGATACTGAAATACTATCCTGGGTATGAGATGGAAAACGTAACATCACTTTTGTATTAAATTATATAATTATATGGTGAGGAGACTCTGAATAAATACTGTAAGGCATCCTGGTGGCGACATCAGGTAAATGTTGGACAGCCAACCCCAAGGTCAGCAGTTCAAACTTACCAGCTGTATTGCAGGAGGAAGATGCAGCGGTCTGTTCTAGTAAAGATTTCCAAAACTCGCTGCCATCGAGTCCATGCTGACTCCTGGAGACCCTATAGGACAGGGTAGAACTGGCCCGGTGGGTTTCCGAGATTGCAGCTCTCCTGGAACTGCTGTCGGTGGTTTCAAAGAGCTGACCTTGGGATTTGCAGCCCAATGTGTCAACCCACTCTGCCCCCAGGACTCCTTAGTAAAGATGTGCGGCCTTGAGATTCCTGCTTAGGGCTCAGAATCAACTCAGTGGCGGTGAGTATGGATAGAATAGATAGTGTAAAGGTATTTGATGCATTTTCTAAGTGGTGTGCCTTTTACAAGCTTTGACATTGAAGTGGTCATTGAAGTTGGAGTACCTCACGATTTTAGGTTCTGTATATGTAAATCCGATGAATTTAAGATAATTTCCTAACGTTCACTTAAATATATCTTAAAATTTCTTCATGCTTTTAAAAGTTTTGAAATTAGATACAACATTTTCTCTAAATAGTTTGTCTTTCTGACAATATATCCTGAAATATATTAACAGTTCATATTGAAATGTCTGAGAAAAATGATAAACCATATATTCTTTTATAATCATACCATGTATATTTTAATGTATGCCTTTTACAATGATTTCCACTGACATTTTATGTAGCATATGTTGTTCCTCCACTAGATGATATATATAAAACATTGCTTCCGTGTGATTACTCAGTAACTTGGTCACTCACCATTTCCCCTGATTTAAATTGTAACAGAGAATCTGATCTATGCTATCCACTCAGAGGGCCAGCTAGGAGCGAGGGCAGGAGGAGGAATGTTTGAGACAAAGGCTAGAAAACATGGGCCTTAGAAATTCTGTTTTGAACTGACAGCGTACAACTATTCCAATTGAGTTAACTCTCTTGATCATTTGCCTCTCGTGGATGGAGTGAAGGGATTGGTGTGTGCTCACCTGTGCCTCATTTTGTGTACTCTCCAAATGGTGCGGACCTCGTTTAAGTCATTGTGAAATTACACAGCCAGGAAAATGACTGTGTAGACAATTCAGCTTGGTTATCGGGTCAATAGACAAGCTTGGTAAATCCCTATTCCTTGGATTCTCTCTTGAACGGATCTTACGATCCTTTTGATTCTCCCATTGATCAAAGTATTGAATAAGGTGCTCTGTGCGTGTATGAGTCAATGTTAACATTCTTGAAAATGATGCATTAGCTATGACTGCATTTTGAGACTAATAAGACTCAAAAATGACTTCACTCACTAGAGGGTTCTTTAAAGGGAACTTTGGTTGGTATTATTGTTTTCTCCAACCATTTAAGCATCTTTTTATGTGATGCCAGAATGACTCAGCCCAATGCTTCCAACTTTTAACCTTAACTAGTCACGCCGTACTGTCACTGTATACTATATTTACTTGGATTTCTAACTGGGAATGGTATACAGCACATGCTTACAAGACAAAAGCCAAAACAAAACAAAACAAAAGAGGCTGTCATCAAGTGGATTCTGAATTACCATGACCCTAGAAAGCACCCTATCGAGAACCCGGTGTAGTAGAATTGTTCCTTTGGCTTTCTGAGACAGTATTGTTTTTAAATAAGAATATTGCATTTTTTAAATGCAGATAGCAGCATCTCTCTTCTGCAGAGAAGCTGGTGGGATTCAACTATTAACCTTGTAGTAAGCATCCAAGTGCTTAACCAAAAGTGTCTTCAGGGATCCTTCTTAAAAGCCAAGGATAGATTACTTATCCCTAATGGGAAAGTAAAGGCTTTGTTAAAATTTAACATTAAATTATAAAATTACAAAATTTGCATTTGGTACTGTTTTGCTCGTTTATATATCTTTATACTCCTTTGTACATTCTGCAGAAAGAGTGGAAGACAGAGAAATCAAGAGATAGAACAGGTTAAAATGCCATATTTTGTGAGAAGGGATCAATTGAATGGCTATAATGATGTTTCACAAGTAAAAATTATTTTATGGATTGGGAAGAGACTTTCATTGTAAATCATAATTTTAATAGGGGAGCAAAATGCAACCTAAACTTCAAAAGTTTCAGTATGCATAGTGATTCTGTTATGAAATATAATAAGAAGTCCCATGGTTATGAATATCTAACTTACAGGCAGCTGATATTTATATGAATTGACTCTTGCTTTGAAATAATTGATCCAATCTGTAAGAGCAGCACATTCTTTACCACAATTACCTTCACTTGGTTCACATGCAGCTTTTAAATGATTGGGACAGTTCCCAGCCTTTTCTTGCACTAAAGTTAGGGGTAAGAACCATTTACAATGGTTTCAACTTAACTTACCCATTGCACCTGGAACTACCTGTATTTCAGGTCGTACAATCAGTTGGTAACTGTTTCTGTTTAATAAGCCTGTGAGGAGGCTTCAGAAAATATGTAGAAAAATGTAATTGAGGATAAAGTTTCATACCTACAGAGCTACGGTTATACGAATGGTTAACATGCTCAATATTTTAAGTCATTTAAATTAAAAGCTTCAAACTAGAATGAAAGTGTTAGGAGGTTGCAAACATTTTGCAGCAATCTTTATGCTGAGAAAGGGTGACATCTACTGGCCAAACATGTTATCTCAACTAAATAATTTGCTGTGGCTCTGTCATTCACCCTTTAACAATTTTTAAAATACATATCCTTAAGTCATCCTTTTAGATCGTGTCTTTATATTTATAGTGCAATCTTTATATAAGAAGAGGCTTCAATGTAGTGTGAAGGCAGGATGCAGATAGGTTTACGGGACAGTAGGGGCATACCAGTTGTGGTAAAGGTCATCAAGGCTGGGGTAGAAGACAAGGAGTGAGTACTTCTGTGGGGGGAGAGTGGATCTCAGGATCCGCAACCCTGTATCCCGAGTTTTCCAGGAGTCTCTCTGTGGCACAAATGGCTAAGCCCTTGGCTCCGAACAGAAAGGCCAACAGACACGCTGTAGACAACAGGACAGCACTGGCCAGTCCTGCGCCAGCCTCACAATGTTCCTAAGTGGGAGCCCATCGCTGCAGCCTCTGTGTCAGTGCGTCTTGTCGAGAGCTTTCTTCTCTTTCTCTGCCCCTCTACTTTTGAGCATGATGCCCTCCCTTCTGCAGGGACTGGTCTCCCTCGACAGCAGGCCCAAAGTGTGTAAGAAGTCTCACCACACTCGCCTCTGTCCTTTCAAAGGAAAGGTCGGCGATTTATTGTCAAAAGGTCACTGCCGTTAAAAGTCCTTTGGAATCCACTTTTACTCCGATACACCTGGGTTTTCTGTGAATTGGAATCAACTTGACAGCAAAATGGTTTGTCGTTTTGGAAATAGCCTTTTATACAATGTTCTATTAGCACCGGTTTCTTAAAATCTGTGATTTCATTTTTTCCCCCATCGTTCTGACCGTTGTTCCAAACTAATGACCTAGGTTTTTTGTTTCCCCAAGTGCCGTCTACCAATTGTGTTGGCTAATGTTCTGTGTAAACCTGGCTAGCCATGGTTTTCACTGTTATGTGGTTGTCCACCATTTGGTGATCTGGTGTTAGGGGAATGTCCTTTGGAGTGTAGTCTGCATTTAATATGTATTATTCACATATATGAATATATGAATAATTAGGAATAATATTATTCATATATATTATTCATATATATATGAATGTTTGGGGAAATTTTTCTTGTTCTCAATTCTACATCCAACTCATCATCATC